TTTCAGTAAAAAGGCCATAAATGTTTCTAGTTCTAGTTATAAAAGTAATTGTTCCCTCCTTAATCAAACAAGTCAATTTAGTCATTTCTGCAAACTCTTCCATCTTCACAATTCTTTCTTCCATTACGGCTATGTTTTTTTACTTTCCTGTTCTTGTTCATGACACTGTTTTTGCTGCTACACTTGGTAGGAACAGGGGAAAAACTTGCTTCAGTCATTACATTTTGTAAGTGCATTTGCTCCCTAAAGAAGGATTGGGAAATTCTTCTCTCCCTGGGGAAATGTAAGAAAAGTACCAGTTCATTTTCTTCGCCTACGAACAAAGATGTTTAAATGATTGCTTGCATACACTGTATCTTCTAAAAGGCCCAAAGGTAGAATATTCATTTAAGGCCTTCCTTTCTTTTTCACTGAATCATAAAATCATAAAATTTCCCCCATTGTCTTTTGTTTGTTGAAATCAATGGCCCTGCAAATGAGAGCATGTGATGAAAAAATCCAAATACTGATAGCAACTTTGGGAGTTATATTTTAAGCAATCAGTTTCCTGCCTTAAATGAAAGACATTGATTCAAAGGGCAATTGCTTCAACAAAAGCCCAGAAGATGCTTACAAAAAAATTCAACAACACATTTTATTTGTAGTAAACCTGTTAGAACTTGCAGTGCAAACAACTGGCCATAATGTGAATAAGTCAATGCACTTTTTTCCCATTGAAACGTATTACTTGGAGTTCTGTCAATGAATCTAGCCTTGCAATGACTTTTGGCCAGGGGTGGGTTTCTCCCGGTTTGCACTGGTACATGCGTACCAGTTGGTCAAATTTAGCATACCTTTGAGAACCCCTTTGTCCGGTGGCACGGTACTGGAATACTTGCTCCCTGTTCGCTCCCCCCCCACTTGCCCAGTCACCACTCGCTCACTCCACCCATTGGCACCATGCTTGCCGCTCACTGATTGGCTGGCTCTCCAATTGCCCTGCCTCTGAGAGCCCTATTTAAACCACAG